GTTTCGACACAGTAGTATACGACTCAGAAACCGAAGTAGATATCGGTTGATTGTTAGGAAAAACAATCTAAACGAGAGTTGAAGATCTCATCCATATGATTCTGTCGATATAAAGACAGACGTGAACGGATATCATATGAAAAAGTAAAGAACTTTTAACGGACTTTAACAGTCTAAGCCTGTTAAAAATATAGCTTTAAAAATAAAATCAAAATTAGCTGAAGGAGTTTAAATGAAAGTTGTAGATCTTGTCGAGAGCTTTCCATGGATATAAATAACGTCAAAAACGAAGCTTGTATGAAGAATTTACGTCATTTTGGAAATCTGGAAGTTTGTGTACGCCCGAAGCTCGCGGCGCGCACGACGACGTGGCACGTTCCGGAGGCGACATGTGGCATGGTCGGCTGCCCAATCTTTAAGGAGTCAAGGTGAAGTGGCACCACGAGATTTGGACACGTGGCACCATGAAGATACAACACGCGGCATCTTATAAAAGAGGCATATGCGAACGAGTGAAACGGCGACACGTGGCAGAAGCTCCGAGGAGCCAACATCACCCTAGTGCGCGGCGCGCATGCCTAGAGTGGTCGGGGTGTAATGTTTTTCTTGCCTATAAATAGATGGTTTCGTATATATTTTCACCCCCACACCCATACACACATTATCTCTCGTGTATTCTTCACTTTTAGGCCATTTTTCTTGAGTTTTTGGCTTATGGTGAAGCCCTACGACTCCCCTGAGTACGCGTCTGAGTAGTAACCTTGGAGTAGGAGATACTGAGTCAGTATTCTGGCCGTTTAGATTCTCGTTTTCATCAAGAATCTCTATAAGTTAGGCTACACTCTAGTCTTTTTAGTGTAACTTATATTTATAGTCATAAGTCGTTGTTATGAACCTAAAAATAAGATTTATCAATAATTTTCCAAGTCGTTTTAATGATTGATCTACCTAATAGGTGTCTAGAATGGTCATGTTGGATTATTTGTTAGATTTCAAAAAAGCTATATACCGAAATGATCATTCATCTTAAGTGTCCTTCCTGGCTGATCCTTACTTGATAGATCCTGATATAGACATTAGGATTAGTCAGGATCTAGACTATTATTAGTCACTAGGATCATTAGACTAAAACTCTGTATTAATCATACTTAGCTCACGTCAAGGTGTTAAGGCAACGCGCTGCCCTAACTTTTAGTCACCTATCTATGTCAGGTGAGTGTATAGTTACATTCAACTTACACATAGATATCAAGTATTTAATTTTCCTAAATGCTTTATATACTTATTATATGAGTTTTTGATATTTATGTTACATGAGATAATGATTTTTCTAAATTATCATATGTATTTTTATCGTACTCATAATATATTGTGTAGGATGGGTAGAAAGAAATAAGAGAAATGAGATAATAGTTAGGGACCATAAGAGTAGAGATAAAGATGAGAGACCATAAGAGAAAATAAATAATGGTGAGAAACCATACTAGAGATAGATTAGTGATGAAAGACCATGCCCAACAGAGATCAACCATCAAGCAAAGTATTGATGGTGACCATAGACTCTTCTAGACAATCCAATAGAACACTAGCACACGTACAATTTGTAGGTGTTAATGAAATCACACAAACCGAGAGTATGGATTGTGGATTCATTTGACTACTCTATTTTTCCTTAGTTACCTTATCAATGTGTAACCCTTAGGGTAGAACCAGAGAGAGGGAGGGAGAGAGAGAGAGAGAGAGAGAGAGAGAGAGAGAGAGAGAATGAATGAATGAAAGAAAGAAAGAAATGGAGTAACGGGAATGGGTGATCGGGTTAACTGTTTGGTGTGAGTTATATATAGACATAAATTATATTATTGTGGGTTGAAAACCTTATGTACTCACCAGGTTTCACAATATGACTCACTCAGTTTATTGTATCACAGGTAATTATATATGATGATATATGTATCTACCGAGAGATTCAAAGGAGAGATAGACTATTAGTATAAAGAGATGTTGTAAGTCTTCATTTATGCTTATGTTCTTTTTATTAATGATAACATCTCGAGTTTTATAAATAAAATACATTTCTTGGAAATATCTTGATTATATTATTATCATATTTTTGGGACAAATTCCGCAAAGTAAATGTTTTTCAAATGATACTCTAATTTAATATGCATAAACAAATCAGTCTTTTCTGGCCGTAAAAATACGGATGTCACACGTAGCTAGCGTAGGTCATTAAACGTGCGTCCAGAATTCAGCACCTATGCCCAACGTAAGGGTTTTCCTACGCCCATCATAGGGAAAAATTCCCAATTTTCAATCCAATTTCAAACAGCCATAACTTCTTCTCAACTTCGTTTTTGGCGTTCTTTATATGCACGAAAAGATATTGGCGAGCCCCACAATTATATCTAGATACTTTTGTCTCAACACATGTCGAGCTCAAACAATAATCCATGAAAAAAGCTCGACATATAACTTTTTCCATTTTACCCCTTTGGTTCCAACACCTAAATCAAATGCTTAGATCTCATAACCATTATTATCAACATTCAATAAGGTATAAACTTTATTACCTTGAAGACCAAAATCTTTTTTCGATCGAATTCCGGCCCGATGTCCTGAAATTAAAACATTACGAAAGCTAAGTGTTACAAGAATTGCTAAATCCTTCATCATTTGATCTTCATTCACTTGCTTACGAAGAAAATCCAAGTGCTCTCGTTACACTTCAACCTTTTGTAATGCGATTAGATTTTGTTGGTCGAACGTTTCTTATATTTTCGCCAACTCTTGTGCCCTTCTCTCGGCTTCGTCTGCGTTCGTTGAGCGTGCTTCGCTTTGTTGAACAAGATCGGTCGACGTGAGGGGGCAGAGATCTCTTCGATGTCGTCGGGGATGTCATCCGTGCCGACACTGAAGTCGATGTTAGTTTGTGCGTAGGAAACATCAAACGAACTTGATTTGCAAGACCTCTTTGATTGTACCTCTGACGATGTTGGAGTTTTAAGCCATTTTTTATCAACTCTCACAATCCCTCATATTTTGTCATACTCGAAAATGTGACCCATTTCCACTTGATATTGCTTCCTCGTGGCTTTGAACACATCGAAGTCATTCGCACCACTTTGCTTTTGTGAACCGTTTCGTGCGTTGGTTGTGTGGTTGTTTGTGGCATGGAAGCGAAAGTATTGAAAACGTTTTATTGAAGGTTTGAGTTTTGTTCCATGTAGGGCAATGTAGGAAATTGAATTGGTGTGAGACATGATTAAAAAACTTTCCTTGAAATGAAACTTAGGGTGAGTTTTGAGTGTTGAGTAGGTTCATATTGCTCACGTATTGTGCGAACCCCATGAGAACAGATGTATTTTTGTTTGGTGGAGGGGTGTTCGGGTTGTGCTTCATAGCTTGATTGAAAGAAAAATGTGGTTGATTTTTGTATAAAATGAGATAAATAGAAGAATGGTGTAGGTGATATATATATATATATATATATATATTATATATATATATATATATATATATATATGTGTGTGTTCTTATATGTAACGTAAAAATTTAATATATATATATATATATATATATATATTTTTTTTTTTTTTTTTTGTGCCAGTTGTGAGCAATCATTTGACCGTTCATTCTAAAAAATCGCCGTTACAATTCGTGATCGCTGCAACGGGAGGCGGCATAGTTGGGATTGCGTTCATGCGTTATGGCACCATAAAGGAGCTGTCACGTTAGCAGTAACAACCCTTCACATGCCCATAACGGACGGTCCCATAACGGACAGTCTTAGTAAAGATATATGGAGATCAATTCATTGTTAGGAATCGTGTAACTGGAGATCGGATATACTTTTGTTAAGCTTTTTTCATGCCATATATAGTTGAAATGTCAATAGTGGATGGTTGTACTTGCAGTGGATGGTTGTACTTGTAGGTTGCTACCAATTAAAAACTTTGAAGTTGCATGCTAGCTTGAGTTGGCCATTAGTCCATGTGGTCATGCAATGGTATGCGTGTCTTTCTTTACAGTTTAAGTCTCAATTATTGTGGAAAATTTAATAACGCATGTGCCCCCTACGTATTTTATATTCATCATGTTATCTTTTTATCTACGTGTAAGGAAATCTTGGCCATACAACCCCCTCCCCTTCTCTCCTGACGTGAACTTAGTGCTTAAAACCTACGTTGCAGTGATATATATAATAATATTAAAAGATATATACATCGTGTTTTTTGAGATGTAGAAGAAGAATCGCCCACAAATAGTGCTACTGTTGAATAATGATTTTTGAATTTAAAGTATACAAATTCTAAGATAGACAGCGGTTTTGTTTTTATTTGTCGAGTAATTCTACGCCCCAATAATAACTATATAAAAAATAATAATAACTACCTTTCAATAATAATTAAACATAAAAAATTATATATATCGTGGCTTTTCAGACGTAGAAAATGAACCGCCTATAACTATATAGTAGTCTCATAAATGCATCTTAAAGCTCAGTGTTTTCTTTCTTAATTTATGAACATAAAGTATACAAGATCTTTGAATCTAGCTCCACGGTAGACAATTAGTATGTTTGTAGGATAAATGAACTACTTGAATCATAATGTTGTCGAAAATACTCATGTGAGATATTATTGATTGTAAACTTATTTCATCTCGTATTTGTTTAGTGAAACGGAATACGTGGTGCACATGTGCTTGTTCTCATCTGAGTAGTCTTATAATTATTTGTGAACTAGCTTGTATCGACTTGTTCATGGATTTTAACAAAAGTTCGACAATAGAGGGAATCATTTTTATTATATTATTTAAAAGAATTCCATAAAAATAATCCAATTAAATGGCCATAAAATACGCTTAACATTTCAATAAAATTACAAACATACCTTTTATTGTTTTCTATTTGATTCAAGAAGATGGCATATACATGATAAATTAAATAACACAAATAGTAGACGATAAATAAAAAGGTTGTAGGATGTAGACATTTAATATTAACTTGTACTTTCAAATAAATTCTTCTTTATCTTGCTATCTTGACAGGTGGCAGCAGTCCGTTGCTGTCTCCTCCGTATGAACACCTTCAACCCGCCGTCCATATGCGCCGTCAATAACGGCAAATACACCGCCTCCTCCCTTGAAACCACCGGTCTGATCTCGAACCGTTTCACGATCGAAGCTACAACATAACTCATCTGAACATTAGCCAGCCCTTTCCCAATACAAACCCTTGGACCGGCATGGAAAACCGGGAACTTGAACGGCGACACCTCCTTCAAATACAATGTCCCTCCATTCTCATCCGGCTTACAATCAAACCACCGGTCCGGTCTAAACTCAAACCGGTCCATCCCCCATATCTTCTCCATCCTCCCCATTCCGTATGGAAAATACGTTACCCTATCGCCGGCTTTCACCGGAGTCCCGTCCGGCAACACGTCGTCATAGACGGCGTGCTTCGAGTCCCAAGCAACCGGTGGGTATAGCCTCATGGTTTCACAAAGACAAGCCTGTAAATACTTCATTTCTTTAAGGTTTTCATATTCATCTTCTTTGAATTTAAACCCTATTTCATTTACAAGCTTTTCTTCTACCTGGGAATGCCGGGAAAGTGCATAAAAAAGCCATGTCATCGCCGCCGACGTCGTGTCTCTTCCGGCCATGATGAAACTGATTAACATATCCCTTATAACGTCTTCACTCACACCATCCATTATCATTCTACTTAATAAATCTTTACTTTCAGATTTAGTTATGTTTTTCTTTCGTTCATCAACTATTTTGCTTATGAAGTCATGAATCTTTTTCACGGAATCTTTTAAGACTTTCTCCGACCCAACTCCCAACACTTTCTTTAACTTCCAAGCGGTGGAGATGGGTGTTGCCTCCCGTTTTGCGCTTATCTCCCCCGCCTTGTCAAACGCTTTCAAGATTTCCACTTCGTCGGAGAAACAATGTTCATCTCCCAAACAACATGGATCAAACCCTGATGAGAGTCTACAAACTATATCAAACCCCAGCCGTCTCAACACCTCCTGTAAGTCCACCGCCTTACCGCCGGCCAGAGAATCTAGTAACGGAAAAAGCTTCATTTTTACAGATTCCTTCACGATGGTTTCCACATGCTCTTTCAACGATTTGGAGGAGAACTGGTGGCTTGCTAACTTACGCTGAGCGTGCCAGAGCTCTCCATCGACGTTGAAAATCCCACACCCAAGAAAATCATTAAGAATATCAGTGAAAGGCTTTCCTTTTGGGAAGTTAATGAAATTTGTTTTAAGCATGTATTCAACATTATCTGGGTTGGCCGTAATGATGGTTTTCCGAGCACCAAGGCGGCGTATCGCCACCGTCTGGGTTGGTGATGCAGAGAGTAGATCCGTGTACCACGACAGCAGACGGTGGCGGTTCTTGTAGAAGGAAATCAGGCAGCCAATGACAGGGTAAGTTGGCGGTGCATCATCACCGGGCAGCAGTGGGAGGAGGAAGCACCGGAGTTTATGGAATAACGTTGCATTGTAAATCAAGCAGCAGTACGTAATTGCAGAAAGAAGAGAGCATAGTGCGAAGAAAGAAGAGAATGGTGTTTCCATGTTGGTAGGCCAAAAGCATTTGCCATACAAATGGGTGACACTATCTACAGAAAAATATAGGATGGTCTTTATTTAGATAATTTTTCTTTTTCTAGTTCTAGAGTTTATAATTTCTAGAATAAATTACATAAACCGTTCATTGGTCGGATAATGTGCAAGTTGTCTTTTATCTATTACTTTCGCTAGAACAATCTTTCTACTTTGTTTTTTTGTTTGGGTTTTAGTCATATTCAATTCAAAATGCAAGACTTTCTGAAAGGCTTTTTAATGATTTATGTATCATTTATAACTTATTATAAACAAAACAAGCCCTACCCACAAAGCTTTTCTCACCATCCCTCTCCTTCCCTTTCAGTCTCTTCCGCAATCACCACAACATATCCTAGCCATTTACTATTTGGGTGTGAACACTTTATTAGAATGGTCAGAGAGAATGTCCTCCTGATGAGTGAATGATCGATGGGAAAAAGAATATCCTACCGGTGAGTGAAGGGCAATAAAGAGAATGATCTCCTCGTTCAAGACAATGCTTCGTTTGCAAAATAATTCTATGTCCACAATGTGGTCGGGCATTTGGCAAAGTGATCAGGCATTTTGGAGCATGCATTGGAGCATCCGACTAAGATGAAAGTGACAAAGTGTTGCAACCAAGTTCATAAGTACTTGTTGGAGAACTAGTATTCGACAGAACATATCTCAAGATCACTTCATACTTAGCTATCATGCGTGATACTTGATAAATGTAATATCTTTGTATTCTTAGACTTGAGATATATAATTTGGACTTGAGTGTAGGGAATGCTATGTTTTGATATGGTTAAACGTCGTTTTTTTTTACCCAAACAGTTATAAAGGATATTATTAGGTATAATATGAACTACAACAGAGGTGTATGTAGTCAAAAAGGGATTTGTTCCTTTTATGTGTTGACAGTTAAATATCTAAGGCGTCTTACTAAAAGTTGAACAGTAAAAGAAATTGATTGCAATCCATATATCATGTTCAACATGATGTCTTATCTTATACATCAAATTGATTGAAAAATGGATAACTGATAACTTATCTTATACATCAATTGAAGCTTTGAGCTTTTTGGGAATTGGATTGAATGTCATATCTACGTATGTTATTAGGGCACTAAAACGTTGCTAGATGTTCACCATTGTTTTTATCAATTTATAATGGATCTTGTGAAAGTTAGCGATAGAAAGATCTATATGCTCAAGAATCATTTTAAAATGATATTACCCCTAAAATATGATCTCATAGGGTCATACCATTAACAAGTAGACGTCGATAGGACATTTTATCTAGTGAATATGATTTATGATAAAATATCATAACTCTTGTATTTTTCATTTCATGAGAAAATAATATTGAATCTTAATTTAATTCATATGGTATGAATTAATTCAAGTGTGTGTTAATTACATCGATTAATGGTTAAATGATTTAATTAAGTTTGTGTATCTTTTATTTTAATTTAAGAGATAAATTAAATATAAAAAAATATACACATGCAAATGTGGGGAATAGGAGTGTAAGGCTCTCATCCCCGACTATCATACCACCTTAGGCCATACTTTATGGGTGATGGGTGGTTTTTCTCTCATGCTTTGACTTGTCATACCTCTTACATGGTATATGCTTTTGTGTATCAGAGTCTATGGTATAAGAGAGATTATACATGCATGAGAAATGCATCTTTTTTATCTCTTCTAATGCTTGAAAAGAGATAGATATACATACATGCAAAGTTGGTTCTCAGTAAACTAGTTAGTGAAGAAAAACTTTATTTTATTAAGACAAAAAATCATTTTTGGTCTTGATTGATTAAGAACTTATTTTACAAATACTAGCATATATTAGTGTTGCTTTTTGTTGGTGGACTTATCTAGAGGAACTCTACATTGTGTTCTTGTCATCTTCATCAATTTCCAACCTCTCACGAGGAATCAAGATAAGGTTATTATGTAACGTCCCAAAAATACCAAGTAAAAATTGCATATTTAAATGAGTTCAAACCATTCCTTTATATTCCAAAAGACGATCAGAGTCAAGTATTGACAAAATTTCAGATTAATTCGTAAACATTCAGTGCGGAATTAATATCCAGGGGATACAGTGCGACCAAGTCGGACCCTTCCTTTTGAAACCAGAAGTACTTGAAATATTTTAAGCATAAACCGTAAGCATGAATCTTAATGAGTTCCCAAAAATACCACATATTAAATATACATAACAACATTAAGCTAAATTGGGTCTATTTCATCCCATGAGTCTATTTCAGATCCTTCGGTATCTTTCAACCAGTACTGGGTCTATTTCATCCCCTGAGTCTATTTCAACTCCTTCCATATCTTTCAACTGGTATTGGGTTTATTTCACCCCTAAGTCTATTTCAACTTCTTCGGTATCTTTCAAACGGTATGAGTCTATTTCACCCCTACAGCTAAGCATACAGTCATATCAGCACGAGTCACAAAGATAACAAGCACATACAAGCATATCAGCAAGTATCAGCAAGACAACTATCCTCCTGCAAACATAATCCAATGGGTCGGCATTGGTGTCTTCAACCCAGGAGTACATTGAAGAGGCTCACCTCAATCGATAGTTAGGTAAAACACACACTCAAACTATTACTATTAAAAGCTCCTCAAAATGGTCCAGGAGTGATGTAATCCTCCTGGATCTATACTTGAACTCTTCTTCCATACACTTTTCCACCACCTTGCTCTTCAATATTCAACCTTCTAATTGAGAAATAAGCTCGTAAATGATGCCAAATCACAAAAACATGTGAGAGGAGGCTAGGGTTTCTCAAGAAATGATCTTAGGTGATGGAGGCTGGTAATGACAGGGTTTCCCATAAGTCAGAGCCCTTAAATAGGGCTCAAAACTGAAGATTTAGGGTTTTGGTCTGCCCAGATTATGCCCTGTATAATAATAAATTACGCCTTGCGTAATTCATTAAAACGCGTTACGCCTTGCATAACCCAAAAACCCCTAATTCCCACTTCAACTTCAAACAGCCATAACTTCTTCGTTTCAACTCCGTTTTTGGCGTTCTTTATATGCACGGAAAGGTATCGAAGAGCACCACAATCCTATCTAATTACTTTCGACTTAAAACGCACCAAACTAAAATCCTTTATTCATGGAAGCAGTCTGAAATATCACTTTTCCCATTTTACCCTTTGACTCTAAAACATGAACCTAGGACTTGGATCACATAACCAATATAATCAACATACAATAGGGTCTAAACCCTATTCCCTTGAAGCCCAAGGCATTTACTTGATCCATTTATTTCCTATAATCCTGAAATAAGAAACTTCTCGAAACAGGATGTTACAACTCTCCCCCACTTAAACTGGATTTTGTCCTCGAAATCCGTATTGGTTAGCATCTCTGAAACAACGCCAATATATTCCATAAGCTCCCTCTAACCATTTTGAAATCTAGGAATCTTATAGAGAAAACTCGAGAGGCCACTCGGATACCCACCACGGCCAACAAACAACCCTATAATTTGAAAATACTAAAATGCAACAACTATCTTTCTATCCCTAACTATATGACCCAACTTACAGAGAAAACCACTCAAGCCGGGAACTATTAGAACTACAACCACAAACCAAGTTCATCACTATACTCCCCGAAACCGAGAACCCATCAATCTAAACTTCAGAAACCTTACCCTAAGACTAACGATCATCCAATCGTCGAACTTACCCCTAGTTCCTTGACTAGGAACACCACCAAACCATACATAAAGAATACTCAAACATCTTGATTGTGAATTTCACTTAATCCAAAATCTGGAAATTATGCCGAAAACCTTGAATATACTCTTGACATCCAGAAACGACATCACCAACTCGCTACCCCCCACGAGCATAAGGATGGTCAATCCAAGAATTCTCACGTTGCATCCAAATCCCTCATCATCTCAGGTGTACATCCACCTGCCAAAGCACTCGAGATATTTACAACGAACTCCAAGACTCAATATTTCAGAACCGATACCCGACATTGGTAACCAAGCTCCTAATAGACGCCCCGCAAGGAAACGGGGTTCATAATGCAAACATTCAACAAAGACTTCTGATGCATAATTAATACTCCCAACAAACTTTTATTGTCCCCAAGATCCAAATCGGTTGGTCACTGAGTAACCCGACTCCCAATCATTGCACTAATACCCAAACATGCCAATCAGACTAACGATTTGAAACCTAAGAGTCTCAATCAAATGACTAACAGGCCCCATCCATATGAATCTTACAACCTCTGGTTCACGATACATTATGACACCTTCTAACCAATAAAACGATAGGCTCACGGTACTATGCCGATCTTGTCATCATTCCATCACTAGCCTGAAGACTAACGACCAGCACCACATGGGCCTAAAGATACACAACCATCAACAAACCGAATTGTAGGAACCCAATCAACATCCCTCTCAATACTAACCAAACACCACAAGATCCATACTCTTTGATAACGCACAATTCCTTTCATATAAGAGACTGCTACCAATGCAAAATCAGACCAAAACATGGGCACACACAACCAGAGAATGAGCTAGGTTGTTATACTCATGTCCCAACTCAAAGGCTATAACCCAAAGCATGCCTATAATTCGAACACATTGCTCCTTTGCTATCTTTTTTAGTCCACACACACCCCTCTCGACAATATCTAATGAACTTACTACAATACACACCCTCAAGAGAACCCAAAACCAACCCTGGATCTACTGTATTCCTTTATCCTCACGGCCTTACCCAAATGGTGAAGTACAAGTAGATCTAACAAAATAACAAACCTCAATCGTTAACATAAACATCCTCATAAATGTATGAAACAAGGTCCTATCCCTTGACTGAAACTGAACAGATTCCACCAACACGTAACTAGCTCGATAAAACTTTCAAAGTCATCCCGAAATGTAGCTACAACCCTGGTCGGGTCAATTCAAATACCAACCT